AAGAGAGAGAGAGAGAGAGAGAGAGAGAGAGAGAGAGAGAGAGAGAGAGAGAGAGAGAGAGAGAGAGAGAGATTACTCATACCTGTGTGTGCCCACTCATGAGTCAGGGAGACAGAGAGAAGAAGTAGAAGAATGCTGGCAGGGCGGCAAATCTCTCGTTCAGGAAGCGTGGTGGTGTGAGGTGGCTTAACAGCACCCTCGTTTGTCTCTCTGTCTGTCTGTCTGTCTGTCTGTCTGACTGCCAGTCCGTCTCTGAGTGTGACGCACCCTCGGCCCCTCTCCCCGCCCTTCCCCTCCCCCCCCCTTCCACCTCACCTCCCCTTCCACCTCACCATGTTGAAGTCATCAGAGAGATCTGGCTATCTTGCATCCTGTTAGAGGCAGCGAGTGTATGCCATTGTATCGTAGGTATTCGGAAGTAGCAGCAGCAGCAGCAGCAGTGATTTCACAATTCTAACGTGGTGCCCTACTATACCACATGACCGGCGCTACAACTTACACCATCGTTCGTTATCATCCACTCGGTGTTCGTTTAATTATTAAATGAGGCGCGGGTTAACCTTCTGATCTGTCACACGCAGTCCTATGACAGATAAAACCACACGACGACAAACGAACGAACGCTATTGTGTTATTGTCACTGTTACGACCAGGCACGGCAGTCTCGTTGAGAGCAGAGCAGAGCTGATAGCGACCACTTGTCCAACCAGGCGGAGTCGATCAGGTAGTAACAGCCAGCCAGGGACCCGCGTACCTTGCACTCCATAATACATTACATTTATATAACTCCCCCGCTCAGAGCGGTGAACCTCATTCCTGCATCAGGCGTTGCTCAGGTCGGATCGTGGCGCGAATTCTTCAGACGTGATACGTTTAACTGACTCGCTGTAAGCTGACTGTGGCTATAGTATACGGCTTTACTGGTTCGCTCGCTGCTCGCTGTGTTTTGGAACTTGTTGTTACTGCCGAGTGCAATTTATTTACCTGTGCGCTTCACTTTTCAAGTTGTGATTCCATTCACCGGATTGTTTATTTCTTCTTTGGATTATATTATCATACTTTGTTTTCCACCGGATTAAAATCAAAATGTTTGTGTAAGTTGAATTTTGTTTTTCATCTGAGAAGTTATGGTATGGTAGATCTAGAATCTAGCACATACATAGGCCTAGATTTTGAAATGGAACTTTGCAATCGGTCCCGTTTGTTTGTTTGTTTGTTTGTTTGTTTGTTTGTTTGTTTGTTTGTTAAATTCTAGATCTAATCGTGGACTCTCTTTGATTTGTATTACTGCTGTTACATATTGTTATATTTTCATTTTGGATTTGTATGCCATGAACCGTTTCTTATCTCCTCTACCTTAACTTGCATTTTTTGTCCCAGGTGTTTTGCTTGTGTCAACTGAATGCCTTTGCAAGGGAAAGTGTGTTTAATTCATAGAGAGTGCGACTTCTCTCTCTCTCTCTCTCTCTCTTTCTCTGTCTATGTCTCTCACACACACTCACACACACACACACACACACACTCACACATACACACACACACA